TGCAGCAGAAACAACAACCCCAACCACAAAGCCAAAGTCATTTAGAACTATCTTCAGCATAAAGAAGAACAAAAAGTACTGGAAGTGATGGTGCGGCCCACACAGAGCCCTGATCTCAACATCATCGAGTGTGTCTGGAAATTGCACAAAGAGACAGAAGTATGTGAGGAAGCCTACATCCACAGAAGATCTGTGGTTAATTCTCCAAGATATTTGGAACAACCTACCAGCCGAGTTCCTTCAAAAACTGTGTGTAAGTGTAGCTAGAAGAACTGATGCTGTTTTGAAAGCAAAGGGTGGTCACACCACATATTGATTTGATTTAGATTTCTCTTTTGTTCATTCACTGCATTGTGTTGACTGATGAAAATAAATGATTAACACTTCCATTTTTTGAAAGCATTCTTTGTTTACAGCATTTTTCTCGCCCCCCTAAAACTTTTGCACAGTACTGTATATGTACTTGTTCTGTTACTACTTAAGGGGCAGCACAGTGGCACCGTGGTTAGCACTGTTGCCTCACAGCAGAATCTCTGCACCACCATCTGCTCAGAGGCTTTCTGTGTGGATTTCTCCCAGTCTCTGTGTGGGTTTTCTCTGGCTACTCCAACTACATCCCACAGTCCAAAGACATGCAGCTAGTAGGGTTAGGCTAATTGGTGATTCTAAATTGCCCATAGGTGTGAATACAAGTGTGAATGGTCGCTCTTATTTCTTTGCGTTAGCCATGTGACAGTGTAGCGACATGTCCAGAGTGTACCCCACCCTATAGCATTCGGTCCATTTCCATCTCTTACTTCCTATTTTAAGTGATTATTTCTCTATAATTTCAATATACATATAATCAAAGGTAGAAAAACTGCCATTCCAAAATGATTTGTAATCCTGATTTGGTTTGCTTAATGACAGAAACCGTAGCCTTGAAGTTCTTAATTCAACAAAGCGCTTAGGTGTGAGCTGTTCTCATGTGAACGCATGTGAGACAGGCTGGCGGAGGTTCTCTTCGCTTCTGTCCAACATCTCACACACTTATTGCATTGCATACAATCCACCGTTGTCTTTCTCTTGGCAGGAAATATCCACAGACTCAGCTGTGTGGGTGTTAAGGGATGTCAGGAAGGGTCGAAGCACCTGAGGTTCCTTTTTTTTTTAAAAATTTCAGAACAGTTTGATGGATGTTTTAAACCATTTGTTCTATAAATGCAAAACAAGTATAAGTGGAATGAGACTAATTACAAGACTATCACCTCAGCGATGTTTGCCCATATTTTTAATTTACACGTGCCTCTCCATGTTTAGTCTGCAGTGTTTCCTCTGGCTGCCTCCACACACACTACTGAAAGGCGCTGTTCCTGAAGCTTGTGCAGAAAAGCTGTTGAATCAGTTCCATCTGCGTGCAGCTGTCCTTCATCCTGCCTACAGACAAAGGTGCTGTGTTCAATGCTGGAGAGACACTTAGCTCAGATAGTGAGAATTCAGGCACAGCGCTGCTAAGCAGGAGTAATTTTGACCATGCTCAGTATCGCAGTAGTGCAGCTTAGGCTAATGGGATTATTATTTCTTTGAAGTTATCAACCTTATGATGGCACTAGAGGAAAACATAAATGAACAGCCACGTAAGCCAGTGTGATTCATAATAACGAACATCACAAAAAGCAAATTAAATCTGCCAAACTGCCACACTCCCTGGGTTTTGTGTTGTTTTTGTGATACATTTGAGATCAAAGTAAACGGACCATCCAAGAAACTGATCTCATATTCCTTGGTGCCACCTCCATGGATCTAAAGCAGTAAAGTACAGTAGAGCTGCAGAAAAATGTGAAAACCGAGAGGGTTTTTTAATATGAACTAAACTCTGCCCACCTGAATAAATAACAGTTGCATAACAAAAAAGGGGATAACACCAAAAACAATGTAATATATGTAATATTTTAGTTTAATTTGTTAAATCTGATTCTCTTGCACAACTTTTGGAGCGTCTAAAGTTCTGCAACAGTAGACTCATATGAATCGTGAACTTCTATACCGAATACATTTTGTTTCGATTTGAATGCCTGTTTACAGATACTTATCAACGCAGAGCTTTGATAGGTCAGTGGGCGATTGAAATAACATCTCTTGAGGTTGACTGCAGTTTTGGCCGCTTTAACTTCAGCACAGCTGCAGCACATGCAAACCTCAGTGTGTGCAGTGAGATGGCGCCTAACCTCTGCCCAAAATAACACAAGTGCTAGACGTTCAGACAGGATGCTTGCATGTCTGGCTGACATCACCGCTGGCTCTCGCTGCTGTTTGCTCTGCAGCCTGAAGCCGTCCAAACAGAGACGACAAAGCCATTACTGAGTGTGAAAATCGCAAATTAACACTCATGGAGAGGAGAACTCAAAGTGGAGATGCTACCTTTTTATGGAGATATTTTTTAATGTTAAAAAAGTTTTTAAAAAATGTGATTTATGACCCGACACAGGTGTAAAACAGACTCCGTTAACACCATTCGGCATCCAAGCTGTGTGCAGTAAATCAACCAAAATCGATACATATGACAAAACTTGCAGCAGTCTAATGAACTCTAATGAAACTGCTGAACTTTCAGAGGGAGGAAGTAGTGTTCAGTGCAGAAATGAAAGTGTTTAACATTACAGAGCAACAGCACAGGAGGCCTAAAGGAGCGTTTAAGGACAGTTTGCTTTCCACAGCAGCACTACCCCATCTGCTGGACAGTCTGCTCTTTTTCTGTGCACTGACTGCCAAACATCTCGCAGCAGAATAGACGCACTTTTTCATCAAATGTTTCTAACTGTGGCCAGGAACTTTGATTTAAACGTTATTTATCCACTCATCAAGAAGTTTACTTGAGGACTAGAGCTGACCTTTGTCATGATGTCACAGGTAAGGTTTTCTATTACTGACTTTCTCACATGGACCCACTGTAATCATGAGTGGAAACGTGTGCCACCACTCACGTGAGATGCTACACCAGGCTTGCAGCAGTTTGGGGCTTTTCTTTTCAGCAAACTTGCAGTTTTATCTCAAAGTTCTCTTCATCATTAAGATCTTGTCTTGACTTCCACAGTTCGTCTTTAACTGCATTTCTTAATGACATTCTGGACGCCGGAAATTACAGAGTGAAAGCACCTTAATGTCTTTTTATAGCCTGCTTTTGAAGGCATTAATTAGCTTCATTAACAGATCCTCAATCTGAGCCTCAACTCAATGGTCGTCCTTTGTTATGGCAAGATTTGAAGACTCTGAGGATTTATTAAGCTCTGGAAGTTTCATCAGCAACTCCTAATGACAATTCTTGACCTTTAATGCTTAAGTTCTGACGAGTCAATTAAGACCTAACACATTAATGAAGGGTTTTACAAGTAGATTAGAGCCAAAATTAAACTGCATCTATGACCTGGTGTGCGTACATTTGGATTTAGGATGATATTTCTGCTGCTTCCTTGAGTCTATCAAAAAGATGCACACCTCAGTCTGAGGTACCAATATAATGACACCAAAAGACTAGAATTACATAAGTAAATAAAAGCTCCCTCTCATCTTCTTAGTCCTGCCTCTGTGGATCTGGTGCTTCTAATCACTGGCAGGATTTCCTTCCTGTCTGTTGATGGTACATCCCATGCATGCTTGGTCTTACATGACAGGACCTTCTCTTATTCATCATCACTGCTGCCTGAGGCACTCTTGGAGAAGCTCATCTGCCATCTTCTTGCTGTACTCCTGGATGTTTTGTGTTTTTATCCTGGACTGTGACTCTGACGCTAGCTAATCCTCCACTAATCTCCTGTTTCTAATGCTCAGAGTCTCAGGATGCTAGACTTTCCATGCATTAAGAAGAGTGTTCACAACAGTAGCATCTACAGTGCCACAGGAATTTATTTGCCTCCCTTCTGAATCTGATTTCTCGTTTTTGCATATTTGTTTAGATGTTTCAGATCATCATCTTAGTCTAATATTAAAATTTATATTAGACTAAGATAACCCGGGTCACAAAAGAACCCAGGATATCATCTAAGGAGCTGCAAGCCTCACTTGCCTAAAGCCTCACCTGTTAAAGTCAGAGATCAGGATTCAATAATAGGAACGGCAATAATGGAGATTTCCAAGTAGAAAACCACTGCTGACCAAAAAGAACTGAACTTATCGCGAGGTTCTTAAAAAGAACTTCAGACCAACACTCAAACATAGTCGTGCAGCGTGATGGTCTCGGGCTGCTTTGCCGTTTTAGGACCTGGACGTCTGTTGTAATTGCTGGAACCATGAATTCTGCTCTTTACCAGAAAATTCTGAAGGAGAACGTAGGACAGAGATTTGAAGAAAGCGTGGCTTTAAAAAAATAAATAAATAAATTGGAGTGGCCTAGTCAAAGTCCAGACTGATTGAGATGCTTTTGCATGACCTTAAACACACCGTTCATGTTAGAAAACCCAAACATTTGATTGCAGTTCATGCTGGCACCGGTGACACAACCAGTTATTAGGTTTAGGGGCAGGTTTGGATGTCTTTCTTCTCTTAAAAGATGAAATCACCATTTTAAAACCACTTTTTTAAAGAAATCAGGAAAGGGGCAAATACTTTTTCACAGCACTGTAAATACACAGATAAATTAAAATGTGTGCACTCGAGTCCTATTTTTAAAGATGTCTGCAGATGTCAACTGATCATTAAAACCCCCAAATCACCAGTGCATGCATGTGCACGATGTATGTAAACTGCTGATGTAAACTGATGTGAATATAATGCTAAGTGTAAATAAACTCCAGACTACTTTGAACCTTCGACCCACAGATGAACCAGTGTCTCTCTCACTTTCACCGCTATGCTCCGGATGAAACTACATATGAAAGCAAACACACTGTTTATATCTAAAAACTCTGAGCCCTTCTCATGCAGGCTGAATGTGCTCTGCAGCACCTCCTTCCTATCCCCTTCGTCATGTATATCAGCCCGCCTTTGCACTTGACCAAATATAAATGTTTCTTGGCCCGGCGTCAGGCTGAAATGGGGAGGAGTCTGACAAAGAGTTCAGCTTAGGACAGACTGAAGGACAAACGGGGAGGAGAAAGAACTGGTTTGATATAAAAATAAGAGGACAATAACGAATACTGAGCACCATCTACCTGAGGAACAGTAAGTTTTTACAAGATTTTACTGTATTTTAACTGAAAAAGGGGCTGTCAAAATTCTGGACATACACCAGCAGTGGTAGGCCTTTGCTCAAACGTGCTTTGTAGCTACTTTGTTTGGTACTAAAGCACATGACACACGTGGTTTAAATAACCTTATCACTGCATGTTCTTTTCAGCTGATCTTTAATTTCTTCTTAAAATTAAAATAATTAAATGTTGCTTCATTTTACTTTTTATATTGCACATAAAATTCCAATAGTCAGATTCTGTCTGTTTCTACGTGCACTCTGGTGTAAAAAGTGCATTATTTATATCTACAGCTGCTATTAAACTTTGTTTTCTCTCATTCCACCTGTTCAGATGTCGGCCGCCTTAGCCGCTCGCCGGGTGCTTGCTGCTGCGTCACATTCAGGCAATGAAGGAGGAGGTCAGCCTGTCCTTTATAACTAAATACCATAATGGTTCAAAGCCTCCCCATTAGAGATCAAAACTAAGGCACATTTACTTTTTAGTTGAACATTAACTGAAATGTCTGCAGAGCCGACAGCTATCCTTGCTCTGGCAAATAATCACAAACTGACCAATAGTGAGGCAGGTCCTGTGATTTATTCCTCGTGCTTTAACAAGTGCTTCACTTGTGTATTTCTGTTGTTTCGGACAGCAAAGACCTGGAAGATACTGACCATCGTCTTGGCCTTTCCTGGGGTTAGTGTCTGCATAGCCAATGCTTACATGAAGGCCCAGGCGCACTCACATGAACAGCTCGAATTTGTGCCATATTCTCACCTGCGTATCCGCACCAAGGTGAGTCTCTGGTTAATGTATTAATTAACAACAATTTCTAACTATAAATGCTCACTCTTTCAATATCATTTTCTCCAAAATACTATATGTCCCCTTCCAGAAATTTCCCTGGGGAGATGGAAACCACAGTCTGTTCCACAACCCGCACACCAACCCTCTGCCTGACGGCTACGAGAGCTCCCATCACTGAAAGGATCGGCTACTTGGTTTAATTAAAACGGCTGAGGGGCCAAGTAGACAGCCAGGAATAAAACCACTTTGTGCTGTATTACCATGAGTGCCAGTTCATTTTTTAAATTGGAGAAGTGCTCATTTTAATTTAATCAATACACAAAATATGTGTCTGTGTGTGGTGCTGTGATGAAAGTGTATTTACATTTTAGACCGATGTGATTGCAGATTGCACTGAGTTTTTCCATGAGGGGTGCCAAATTTAGAAAGATTAAAATCCAACATATATCAGGCTTTAAATATAAAACTATTATTCTATCAAACATCAGTTTTTTCCTATTGTTAAACAATAAGTAGCATCAAGTATCATAAGTGACCTGACTCGGTGGCAAATTCCACCGTGTCATAAAGGTGCATTGTTTTCCACAAACTATCCAGACGACTGCACTGGCACGTTGCTTCACGCCAACTCAAGCCCACATAAAATTTTTGGCAACTGTTTCCCCGACTGAAAACTTTTATGCATGACCAGTTTTTAAAAACACAGAATGCTGAGTTTCCGTGAGCCTGGTCACAACAGTTAGGTTAACTTGACATTTACTAGCCTAATTGAGGTGGGTTAACTCTCCGGTGTCACCCCCCTCTCTCCAGCTGTTCTGTCTGCAGCGCTGCACAATTATACTGTAGTGATAAATGTAACAGCAGGGCTGCCTCTGAAATGCACGTATGGCTGGACTTCCATTGGACTGGAGCGATGTTACGATGCCCAACACCACCACCTAACCTAATGCATTTACTCTAGTACAATCTTAATGTATTTGTGTTTTATTCCTCTGTTACACAGATTTCTACTACATTATATTATAAATGCAAAATAGCATCAATTTTAAAGCTTACTTGGGGAGATTTTAAACTAGAAATTATTTTATGTTGGCTTATTGATAAAGCTATCCAGCAGTAGAAATAAAATCTTCTCCAGCTGATCTACACATTCACGAATTAATGGTTATGATCAATTAATATAATGTATATGATTCTGAATAATGAGAACTTTTGGTCAGAACCAAATATCCTGATTGCCTGCAGGTCCTCAGATTCCCACTCCACTGACAAAAAATTGCACTACAAAATTTTGTATAATTCCTTGTGTTGCCAGGTAGATAATTTGATTAGTAGAAACCACTTTTTGAAAAACCAGAATAATTTTTCAGGGGGAAAACAAATGTTGGACTGGAAGGAAACAAAGACAGTGGGAGGTTAATCACCCACCTCAAACATGAAAAGAAAGTACTGTATACCTATATCTATGTGAGAGCATTGAATGCTTTTGTTAACTGTTACGTGCAGTCCAAAAAAAAAAAAAAAAGCTGAACAGGTACTTGCCTGCTTCTTTTACCCATAAAAAAAATCTTTAACCCCAGAAACTTTGTAATGCAGTAGCAGAAACCCTGAAAACACCAGAGTCATCTGGAGAGCTTGACTTTCTCTACTGCTAGTTATCCAAGTTAACCAAAACTCAATTAACTTTCAAGGCTTTAGGTTTTCCCTTTTTTGTGTACGCACACCCTCCCACAAGAAGAAACTGAGACCAAAGTGATGTTCCACCAATATATTTACTGGCATAAATTTATGAGCCATTTGAAATGTATATACGTTGCTTATCTGCTATTCCACTTCATCTCCAACAACTGGCTCTCAGACCAACCTCATAATTTTAGCTATTTTTATCAAATGCATGACAGACATCTGCTTTAACGTTTCCCCGGTTAAAAAAAAAATAAAATAAAATAAAATATCACCAACAGTAAATTATAGTAGATGTACATCATGCTGGGACGTGCTACATTTACATCCAAGCTAAACAGAAATGTATTCTTCAAAATGATCAAAATAAATCAACATAAATCAGCAGTTCCTTCTGTAAGTGCTGGAGCAGCATTTTTTAAGGTAACCATGCTGCTGTAAACCACATAATCCATGTGCTTCCTAAACGTATGACAATGGAAACTCTAGACACTTAAACTCACGCTGTGCCCCTTTAAATTATGTGATCAATCAGTATTTCGATCCTTGCTCAGGTCAAAGCTACGGAGACCAAACTTAACAGATCTTGTTTGAGAGTCTCTGCACAGTCAGCTTCTCTGGCCAGTCTGCGAAGGCAGTCCCCAGCAATGGAGGAGGACAGGAAGGGCCGAGGACAGTCCTGACAGCCCAGCAGCAAGGACAGGCAAGCCCGGCCCAGTGCTGGGTAGCTGTACCGCTGGGAAAACCAGTACAACTGGGGCAGCAGAGCAGCCAGAACACCACCTTCAGCAAATGTTTCCGAGGAGCGAGAGCCCTGAGCCGCAGATTTAGGAAGCTGCTCTGAATCTTTAATCAAGCTCTTTGGTCTTAAAGTCAGCTCTTCTGAACTGACTGATTTGTCCACTGTTTTCTTACCGTCTGTCTGTTGCAGGGAATTTGGTTTCTTTGTTTTTTCAGTTTGCATCTTAAATCCTGTCAGCTCTAGCTCTGACGTTCGATTGGCCAGGCTTTCCTCAGCAGACTCGGGGCACTCGTGGTCCATTTTGGATGCATCCTTTTCAGCGTTGGCCTCTGTTGTAGTCCGATTAGCGGCTTTCGGACAGCAGGACAGGAGAAACGACACACACAGGTCCTCTAAGTCTCTCTGTAGCTCACTTACCAAAAACCTGCAACCTCCAATCATCATCTCACATAACGGAGTTTTCTGGAAATCCACATTTCCTTCCGAGCGCTCCTCTGTCTCGCTTTCATAGAGACTCAGACCATCGAGCACCAATTTGTCCAAAATCTGGCACTGTCCACTCTTCCTTCCTTCCTCCCTTTCCTTAATTGTTTCTTCACCCTTAGTAAAGCGACATCCATGCAGATAATGTAGCACTGGTAATAATGCACCTCTGCTGACATCTTTAATGGGGATAGCTTCTTTTGAATTGCCCTGAGCTTCTCCAAATCCACCTCTCAACAGGGCCCTGAAATACTCAGAGCCAACCCCACCTGTGCCCTCAACCCCAGCTACAGCCTCCCTGCAGGCTGGGACCTGGGTCCCATCATCCAGCAGCAAGAACAGATCAAAGTTAGAGATGCTGTAAGGGCATGTGTCTGCTAGCCGAGCTTTTTTAGAGGGAGGCGGAGAAAAATGACCAAGGCTACTGATCGACTGTCTTATAACTGAAATTGAATGTTTTTTGTCGAGCTCGGTTTTAATGGTACCTGTGAGAGCAGACAGGCATCCAATCAGGAGAGAGAAGTACAGCGAGTGGAGATGTGAGGTCACGCCTGAATGTGGAGAATTCAAAAAGTCAGAAAGCAGTCTTTCACATTCAGCAGGGTGGTCTTCGTCCGCACCATCATCGTCGTCACAGCTGAGGGGCCGCAGGGCCAAGAGCAGCCCGCCGCTGTCCAGAAGAAGTTTCTTCAGCAGTGACTTGTTGCTGTACGAGAAAAAGAAAAGGTAAAAACATTAATAGTGAGTGTTTATTGTCTATTCTGACCTTCTTTGTTCCCTCTCATATACACACTGTTACAATGATGGATACTCCTATTCAAGAAGGAAATTGTTTCAAATAATAAGGTCAGCATATGTACAAGTAATCCCTGAGACAAAAACCTCACACTACAGTAAGCTTATTTTCAGGCTTTTCTTTATCTGATCTACAAGATGTCAGGATGTCTGGCAGTTTCTAATATAGTTGTTTCAGGCACGCAGGTAAGAGAATAGAAGCCCCGCCTGCCTGCTGTTCAAGCCTTCTGTTTACAAGAAACAGGCAGTCTGAGGATATTTGGTGTAAAGGTTGAAGAACTACAACAGCTTGTTTCAGATAGAAGATTTCCATATTTCAGAAATATAATGCAAGTAGAATAGAATCCACTATATTTGGTCTACTTCAAAATTCATCACAGATTACTGTTATGTGGGGCTGCAGCTATCGATTATTTTACTAATTGATTAATTTATCAATTATTCCATCGATTAATCGAGTAGTAGAAATATTTTTGTCTTATTAATGAGTAATGCGGAAAACAAAATACAGGTTTTTTTAAAACAAACTGCTCATTGTGTTCCCGTGTTTTTTGTCTTATCCGTCAACAAAACAAACCCTTTTTATTTACGTTTTAAATTTAAAAAATTGTCTTAAATGCAAAAATATATTTTAAAAAATACTCTCAAGTATAGTCAAATAAAATAAGATGAATATGCAAAATAAACTAAGGCATAAAACATGAATCTTTACTGTCTTCTTAGAAGGCTTTTTGAGTTTTTCTACATGTGTTTTTATGTGTTAAAGTGTGCAAGTGAATGACTGAGTTTGCGTCTGTAAGGAAAAAGGAAAATGTAGTGGCTGCAACGAAGAGAAGCAAGCATATCTGAATATTTTGAAGTTTGCCCCGTGCATTGATGCAAAGCTTTTGTGTTGCTGAACACAAGAGGTTATGATGGTGTAGATAATGAACATTAACATTCACCATCCAACCTAAGATCCCTCGGGTCAGTGGCTCAGAGTTTTACTGGCCCATGTACATTTTTTTTGGCTTGTGAAAAAAAAGCTTTCATTTGTATATTTTTAAATATTAACGCAATTTAATTGAGACAGTATTTCAGATTATTTCACTTTGAATCTGAACAATGTAACATAAGCTTTGAAATAAATGGTCTAGTGCACACCATGCCCCCGTTTAGACTCACCCCTGTTCGCATCCATGTAAAAAAGGACAGCTGCCGTCAGCCGTCAGCGAGCTGTATAATCTAACTAGTCTGGTATCAGACTAAGTTACCAGTTCATCGGCATATTTTAATACAACTCCTGGAGGCTTGCTGCAGATTTTTCTCTGTGTAAAACAAATGGCGGTGAATGGAGCAGCTACAAAGATAGTTTTTCTTCATATCACAGTTTGTTGATGAGTTGGTTTGATGAAGAGCCTGCTGTTTTGGACACGAGAAACACGTTTTCTTTCAATCAACCTGAGCTCACCGTCGCGTAATGACTCCGCCTCTTTGCTCTTCGCGGGATGTAAACAGACTCCGCCTCCCCATTAAACTGTGGTAGCATCATCACTGCTGCTGTTGGGTCATCTGTGTTTTTGTTTAAAATTGGGAGCTGAGTTGTTTTTTTTTTCCCACATGCTGCTCCTAAATATGTTTGTATTGCACGTCTGTTTTTTAAGTCACAAGTCTGGGAGAAGCGCTCACGTTTCCATGGTGACAATGTTCCGCTACAGGGCCGTGCCTTAAACGAAGTGTCGAAGCAAAGAATGTGTGCCGAGAACTTTTTAGAACTGAATTTTTCAAAATACTCAATAAATCCTTGCAGCCCTACTGTTATACATTTAGTATTTTTTTATGAATACATTGTCAGTATACATCCAATACTTACCTGCTGATTAATGGCAGAGACAGTGCACAGTTCAGCTTATCTGAGTCAGAGCCAGACAGCATCACATGTGCAAGAACCCCAGAGCCAAATCCAGACTCACACTGGACACGCAGGTTATTCAGAAGGGCCACACCTGCAAAGTCAGCACACAATTATAAACTCTTTAGTCTTACATAAAAAAACAAAAAGACCAGATATTATATTTGATCGAACAAAAGACGGTTCCTGAGATAAATTCTGATCAACAGCGAATCAATATCGTCCCTGTAATTAACCAAATGTGACCAAGCAGCAATTGAATTAGTTGAATTTTCAGTGTATCCGTGTAAAGTTCAGGGTTACTTGTTAGGAGTCATTTCACTTGTAGCCTGGCTTTCTCAGTTCAAATAAAAATGATTCCAATAAAGCAAAATAAGCAGATTTTAAATGTAAAAGACTAACACTGCACCTCTACCCTGTGAGCATATTTAATTACTTATGTGTGCATTATTTAAATCTTGTATAAGGTTTCACTTATTTTAACATGACTGTGTTCATCTCACCAAGCTGTTTAACTTTGGCTTTCACTCTGTCCGTCTGCCTGTCTCCTCCTTCAAATCCTTCTTCTCTCTGGCAGAGATGGTGGCGAATGAGCGCTACAGAACCCGTTCGGAGAAGCGACTGCAAACAGTTCGGGTTGCAGCTCAGCCGGCAAAGCATGCGGAAGCACTTGCTGCTGGGATCCTCACGCTGGGTAAGGTAAAAGAGCAAGCCGGACATGACGCCTGAGCTGACCAGAGCAGCACTTGGATCGGTGGCGTGGGAGAAGCGCGACAGCAGCAGCAGGATGGGTGACTCTGGCGTCCAGGGTTCGGGGTGGTAAGGGTGATGGAAAGCTAATGCGCGAGGCACAGATGGAGGAGTCTCAAGTGTGACTTTAGTCAAAGACGTTGTTGATTGAGCCCGCGGCCTGCGTCTGAGTGGGGATGAAAACTTGGATGGAGAAATGGGGGTTTGGCTTGTTTTAGTGGGAGAGGAGATGGTGGAGGAACTAGGCTGGGTTTGTGGTGAGAGCGTATTGGAGGGAGGCAGATTGGTGACTTTTGATGATGATGAAGACAAAGGCGAAGAGTGAGGTGCTTTTTTAGAAGCAGAAGAAATAGCTGAGTTGGGTGAAGAAGAGTTTTTAAGAGAGGAACTAGAATATGGGTTTGAGGAAGGGGTTTGAGGTGATGAAGATGGCGGGATCTGAAGACTCCCCCATTCTCCATCAACATTAGAAGAATCTAGAAGGTCCCCTTCAGAAGCTATCAAACCCTCAGACACCAACCAGGACCTGGAGAAAGGAATGAAATTGTAAACAATATCAAACAGAAGAAAACAGTGGATTGGGAAAACTAAATTTTAAAAAATAAATTTCCTTTTTCCATACCTGAGACTTAAAAAGCTGGATGAGCCCTGCTCCCTACCAGATTCTTCCTTTTTGTGTCCCTCGGGAGGAGGAAAATCAAAGGAATCAAAACATAATGAAGACAGGAGCTCGGTGGGAGACGTACTAGAGGAGAGGCTCACGTCCATCTTCTCAGTCAATGGCTCCTCTCCTCTGGTGAGCTCAACTAGCCGTGCAACAAGAAGAGGAACCAGCCCCAACTCCTGCAGCTGCTCCATGGCAGATTCATCAAAAACAAAGTCTACACAGGCCATAAGAGCGAGACGGGAAAGAGGATGACTCTGATGAGCCGACAAAAAGCCAATCAGTACCTCCAGTCCGCCGCTCTCTTTCACCTTGGCCCGGTTCACGGCCTCTTTGCAGCACAAGCACAGAGCCTTGAGGAAGAGTCCTGACTTCAGTGGGTCCCTTTTAACCTCCTCTGTGAACTTCTGGATGACTCCCAGTGACCCCACGAGAGGGCGTAGGCAACCCTGAGAGCACATATTGGCTAATGTTTTCAGTGCCAACTCTTCAAAGGGTTTACCAGACTCTCCTGTCACCATGACACCCAGCTGAGCGAGGACCCCGGAACGAGACACCTCCCTGGCACATTCAACACCACAGCCCCGGGTGAGCTCATGGAGAGTCCTGAGAGCTGCTCGCCTCAACCCCTGGGGATACTCTGGTGCAATAAGAGGGGTGAGCGCAGATAGGGTCCCTTGGGTGAGCAATGAAAGGCGATTAGAAGGCGTATCACAGAGGTAGAGAAGGGCTCGAGTAGCAGACTGAGCACACTCAAGTTTGGGACAGGCATCTTTGGGTGGAGCAGCTGTGGGGGAGGACGGTGCAGATGAAAGAGACACGCAGAGAAGGAGAAGAGGAACACCACCTGTGTGATAATAAGAACGATTTATAATCAGAGGAGAAATTATATAGATTCACAGGTCAAAGAAAACACATTTTGATAGACTTGCTTTTATGTGATGGCATTACATGTGATATCTTTGTACTGTCTGGTTATCAGCTTTCAGTTTTTTTGTTTATTGTCTTCTTTCCCCTGTTTGACCTTAATGATCGACTTTAAATCTGCCCTTTGAGCACTCTACTTTTGCCTGTCTGTTACAGCACTTATTATTATTATTATTATTATTTTAATATATCTACAACTAAAAAAGCCCATTTGGAAGCTTTCAAGCTCATTTTAAATGCTGTCAGCTACAAAGGTGGATGTGACACACAGAAGCAGGTCAGACATACCTGCAGAGTGGATGAGTGCAGAGCTTTCTGGATCCATGGCCAAGTTCCCTAAAGCGCGGGCTGCTCGGTTCAGGACTGTTTCCAGTGACACATTTTTCTTAAGGATGTCCACTACAACAGGCATTTTTCAGATATAAGTTATGATAAAGATTGCTTAAATTTAAAAAGTATAATATATAGTATAACAATAAATCACCACTTACCTACAATATTTATCCCATCAAGTTTACGCACCTGATATTGTAGGAAAGTAGGAAAACATTTTAAAAGTTAGTGACTTTAATAAACAAACTCATCTATTATTTCTTGTCTCACCTCTATTCGTGTCTCCAGCTCAGTGCAGCAGTTGCCCAGGATGCTAAGAGCGAGATCCAGAGTTTTCCTCGAGCACTCTGGGTGTTTAATCAGATCCAACAGGTGCCGGAGACCACCCTGACCTCTGAATCTGGCAATGCCAGCCTTGCCGCCCTTGATGTGCTGCGTCCTAATAGCAACAAGCGCTCGCCACTGGGAGACTTTGGACCTCTTGTCCGTTTCTCTGGCACCGCCTGAGCCTGACTGTCCCTGACGCTCAGACCCCGATCCAGATTTGGAGATGTGAGTCAAGCACCAGGTCAAAGAAGACTCTGGTGATGGTTGTCCTTCCCTGGAAGGTGTTCTCGGGTTTTTTCTGTCACATTCTGCAGCCATGGCCCCCCGGATTTCCAGGTAACAGGTGTACTTATTTTTAATTTGTCCTCCTCAATTAAAACAAATATCACAGGCGCCGCGAGGCATCACTGGACGTTTCCAGTAAAACACCGAGAAATTATATACCATGTCCTTTCCACTTAGATATACTCAACTCTTGGTTTAGTTCATTGTCTTTAAAGTTTCCGGAAAAAAGCGACTTGTGTGGTAAGAACTACAGATACCAGCATGAAAAAGGAAAGTGTTACCGCCTGACGCCGCACTCCCCGACGGGATATGGAGTTCCGACGGCTTCGGTCCGCTCCCTTTAAAACTGGCCTATATCGTAAGAAGGCCAAGCAAACGTTAATCGACCAAGTGGACGTGTATTTTCTCGGTGTAATATATTTTTTACACACAAAATGACGAATTAAATCTCTATTTTATCAATGTTTTGTTACCACTGGCCGAATAATTTTTGTGAAACAAACTGCAATCGAGTGGGTTAGCCGCTAACGCCATCTTTAGCCAAACAACAAAACAGGGTCGGCCGAGGGAGGGAGCAGGGAGTGAAGAGGTGGGTCGGTTAAAAATACTCTGGGACGTGTAGTTCGAATTTGATAGCGCCCAGTTCCTCTTATGCGAACCATCCTTTTGAAAAACTACACCCCCCATGATCGCGACAAATCGTAACCTACGTTAAAAGAGTCAAAGAGTTTAGGGATTGTAGTTCATCCGCTAGTCCAGAATACTAAAAAGAATAGGCGTAATAACCAAAATGAACTACAATTTCCAAGCTACCAAGCGACGTTGTTATAGTCATCGTCTTTCTCGACGCGAGAGAGGGCATCGGTGACTCTTGGATGTTGTTAAATTCCGCGATAGATACACCGCTAGTAAATAAAAAAAAACAACTTTAACTGTAATGGTTGTGCTTTTAATAAGATGGAGGTAATCGAGACAATTGTGATTCAAAACTCCGAAGTGGAAGGAAAGGAAACGGTCGTGTCCAGTGTGGATACGGATAAAACAAAAGCAGGTTAGTACTCAGCAGGAACGTTTCCAGGATTTTTTTTTTTCTTTTTTTGTATGGGGTGGGGTGGAGAATGAGAATGGGGGGGGCAAGAACAACAACAACCTGGTTTATTGCATTAAAAGTAGCACTGCACAAAATTTGTATTCAATAAAAACTGCTTTGCAATGTAGCTAAATATGCATTTACACACCCTTTCAGTTAAGTAAAAGTTAAGCATACAAAGTACCTACAATAAAAGTACTTGATGTAGTACTTAATACAAAATCATATACCGGTACATTATTTTATGGTTGGTTTTATTAGTATTATTATTGGAATAGTTTTATTTATATTTTTAAACTTAATATGTGACTATAGCTTTAAAATATAGATCAAGAACAAGATATGCATCCAAAATATAGTGCAGTATACCATAACGCAGAAAAACTTCATTGTAGTTGTATTGCAGTTGTAGTTGTACTCATGATGTTCAGCATTTTAAGAAAAACTGTACTGTAGACCAAGGCATTGTCTTTACTAACTCCAAAAAAAAGCAGTCGATCTGATCATCTACCTTTTTTCACTCCTAGAATTTATCTGGACAGTTCAGGCTACATGGCATCTAGTCAATACCCGGCTTGAAATGGATCAGGCCTTTGACCAGCCAGTGTGCAAGAAAAAGAAACTCTGGGAAATGGTTGCAGAGAAGGTCAATGCCAAATTGAGGGAGTCAGAGGTCACTGATGTCACTGTGAAGGCGTACGAATGTGATCTCAAGTGGAGAAACATGCTGGCCACATACAGAAAAAACGCAGAGAGGGCCAAGAGGTTGGGAGTGACCAGCGTCCACTGGGAGTTCTTTAAAGCTATGCACGAAGTCCTGGGTAAGAGCAGGGAGGAGATCGAAGCCCAGCGCAGGGCCAAACTCAGCGGGACCAAAGTAGGAAAAGCTATAGCGAGCAAGAGGTTTACCCCTATCCTCCCTACGCCTCCTGCAACAGCTGCTCCCTGCCTCACCAGGCCTCCGCAGGATGTCCTGCAGCTGTACATGGAGCTGCAGGAGAGGAAGATGAACATGTGGGCGCAGCAGAAAGCACTGGAGGAGCGAAAAATTGAGGCCATCAACAACCTGGCCCAAGCCATCTCCAGCCTGGCTCAGAAGAACGGCACACAGACTTCAAAGGATGGACATTAGGAGAGAGGAAACGCGAAATTACCAAGACCTTCCAACACTGCATGAGAAGAACAGCTCGTTTGCAATGTCTAATGTTTGTAGACTTTTTCACATTTTTACCGTTACAGTTTACAGAGTAGCTTGGATTAGCAGGTGTACAGTATGAGGCCAGACTCACCTTTAACACAGCAGGCAGATTACAGTTCTCTTTAAACCTGTCTCTTTTTTCCTCCTGGTGCTCAAAATAATGTAAGAATCTTTTATTTTTATACCAAAATAGAAAACTTGGATGAAGTTGAAGAGTACACACAAATGGGGAATCCACCCCCATCTGTTAAAGAACTGTACGAAAATAAACTGTACGTAAATAAAGTAACCATTGCCGGGCCAAAAGCAGTCAAATACAATACAGATTTCAGTAATGGGATTAATGAAGATACTGGTATAAATGTTAAAGTATTAATAAGATACTCTTTGTTTATAACTCTGTCTCTGTTGTGTGTTTTTTATGCTGAAAGCTTCCTGCAAATCTTTCCAGCACATATAGTTATTTAGTTTTAAAACAAATTATTAGCATAAGTAGCAATAATGCAGTGTGAGCATTAGCACAGAAACAGGCTCTGGCTGTCTATTACCTTAGAGAATGGTACAAAAAATACTGGAAGTTACCCTCGTGCATCTTCTTATTACTACTCTAATATGACAACTTGCTCAAGCTAGAGGTGAAATATGCAGGGGGAGAAGACCTAAACACCTCATAGGTGACTGAGTGTGTGAGACTGCAAGGGCTCTAACTGAGGAAAGTAGAAATGGGACAGCGCTTTGCGACATATAATGTGACGATACTTTCATGACAGAACACATTTCATGCTATTGTGGTTTCTAAACTTTAAATTTAGGCTCTTTTTTAGGTCTTCCTGTCTACCAGGTGCCTGATTTGAACACAGAGAAGAATTTACTTATAACTAACTTTGTCAAGGATTAAGAGTAATCTTCTTTCAGCTGCTCCTTTATTCACAAAGGGTCACCGCAGTAGATCCACATATTTGACTTGCCAGATTTTTACACGCAGTGCCATTCCTTTTTTTTCCCGCCTGTCCCATTTGGTTCTTTTGCCATCAGAATTATTGTCTAAAGGCCAATAAAGATGCCCAACAGATTTACTTTACCAAATGGACCATCCCGGCCTTGCCGTATCAGTCTATTTGATTCGCGGTGACAGTCCTGACACGCCTTCCTCCCAATCTTGGACTATAGATCTTTTGTGTGTTAGGAAAATGCATTAACACCACACTATGGAGATGATTAAATTAAAAAAAAAGCTAAACTCTTGATGAATGAATTCTGTGTAATATAAAGTGTCATTCATTTAAATTAATGAAAAGTTGGTTTGTTGTCATATTAAGGTTGGCAGCTACCGCCATCCCTGTTAGGTTATGCTTTTGGGTTTCCCTTAGTAACTGTTTTTAATGCATACACTACAGCGTGTATTAAAAAAATATATAAACATTGGTGTCACCTTCTGGTTAGTGAAGAGCTTGACAAGTTGTTACCTAATGAGCACATCTTGGATGATCCTCTTTTGACTCTTAATATTGACAGTGATTTACATAATAAATTTAATGCTGTGTTCAATTTAACCTGGAATGTGTTTACTGAAGTCTCAGAGCGAGGGAGGCCCATTTTCCCACAGAGATCCCTTCACCGCTCTCGCTCTATGACCTCAGGGAAACCTTTGCTGTTGATTTTTAGGGGTTCAGTCACTACCTTCAAATGTTAATGAATGCAACATGCCAGGATCACGAGCACAACTGAAGTTTATTAACAAATTGAAATGTTCACGCGTTTCCATGATTAAAGCTTTTAAACAGAAAATCTGTAATGGAGTCACGTCTGCATACACCCTCGTCATCCGCCTCCCCCTCTTCATCTTGGGGTGTGGCTTCCTCCTTCTCTCCTTGAACCGCCTGTCCTAGGTCCAGAAACACATTATGCAACACACAGGCAGTCAGCACAACAGCTCTGGCTCGGTCATAGTTTCCAATATCCAGATACGTGAGCCTCCGAAACCTGGCTCTCAGATCGGCAATGGCCTGATCTAGGATCTGAAAATGCTCCTCCAGCGTCTTGTTAAAGAGCGCCTCTCTTGGTCCGTGACTTCCTGTGTACGGGGTAAAAATCTGATCAGTAAGTGGGTAGCCAGCTCTGGCCACAAGGCAGGAGCTGGAAGGCATTAGGTCAGGGTTCTGTTTGAGTTTGTCTCTTAGAGCACGACCTCTGTCCACATGAGATCCTTTACTGATTCTCCAGTGCAAGAACCGGCCTCTAATGTCACACACAAGCTCAAGGTTTAACCAAGAGTCAGGAGGGGCCTCCATCTTCATTCTCTTCACCTCAGGTATGGTGCTCTCCACATCATGTTTCCCTATAGGCAGGCGAATAGGGATCCGGGTGTGTCCCAACACTCCCAGAACCTGAGGAACACCTTGTCCTCCTTCTACTTCCTTTTTTCCAATTAGATTGGAGAATGGGAAAAGTGCCTCTACAGCCTCTTTCCCTGAAGAACAGAGAGAAAATATTATCATCATCATAATTTGCCCACATATGATTAATGACCCAACAAATTAACACACCAGCTGGCCATTTGATGTGCCTCTCTTCCAGCATGTTTATGCGCTGGCAGAAAGAGAAGAAGATCCTGTGGATGTTTCCCTTCTCCAGCTGGAAGCGGCGGGACACAGTGCGGTAACTGACTCGCTCGGACAGCAGTGTGAGAGACAGGAAGACAGTGTGGGACATTGATAAGCGAGCCCGTCCAGCCATTCGTGTCCTTGATTTGGAGCTTTGAAGTAGGTCTGAAATGTACTGGTGAAACACAGAGACACAAACAAAATACAACAGTATTTAATAGGCATGTATCCACTTTATTCTCCTTCCGGATCATGCAGAGTTTCTGGTTTTCTACTGGGATGTCAGCCACATCTCAAAGAAAAAGATGCATTTTCCACTTTTTTTGGTGAGATAAAACAAATGAATCCAGCAAAAAGTTATAAGATTAAGGAGTAATGACAAACATATGAAATGAAGAGCTTATAATTTGATTAAAGGCATTGTTATACATGATTGGTACACTTTAGAAATTCCTTAGTTTATCTCATATTCAGGTTCAAATTCTTTTTAATTGATTTTTGAATATCATGTTAAATTTGAGTTTGAAAATTAAAAAAACTGGCCAAAAATTGTCACTATTGTTTTTAATAGTAGTTGAAAACTGTAAAACGCTTTCTCAGAGGAAAACTAAAGCCACAAAACTACCTTGATCGCTGGATTATCCACAGTATCAACCTGCTCCTGGGACTCTGCAGCCTCCTCCTCTTTCTCTTCCTCCTGCTCGGACGGACTGGATGTTGTTGCTGTGTGTAAAACTTGGGGCCCCACCTGATTCTGTAGTAACTGTACGTAAATAGTATTGGTAGGAGGAGGACGACGATGGGACTGCTTTTCCAGTTTTGCCAGGAGCTGTGACTCCAGGATCTCTTCCACCGCCTGGTCCAGCCTGTGCTCCAGCTCGCCCGCAGACAGAGGCTGCCACTCCCGTTCCACCATGTCCAGCACGGCCCTGCCTGCCGATAAAACACATTCACTGACATCCATTTTTTTAATACCGGCGATAGAGAAACAAGATGCTTTCAGAGCATGGAAGCCAAGCAGAGGTCACCGGTCCTTTCAAGCAGTTGCAAGCCCATTCTGTTGTTAGCACTATGCTAATCTAGCCCGCTGGCTAGCTAGCTAATGTTTGCTGCTTTCAGGGACTGTCGGAATTTTGGCAGAGTCACTGAGACGTTGAAAGACAGTGACCGTATGAGCACACTAAAGTTTTTCTTCATCATTATAAATAGAAGTGTAAAAAAATGGTACACAGACAATAAAAAAAGTAAATTAAATAAATCAAACAGTGAGCAATACAGAGACAGAACAAGGACAAAATAAGTCACATTACATTAAGTGGAAAAAAAAAACAATTCAAAAACTGATTTGAGAGATTGCTAAGCAGCCTTTCTAATACTTATTAGAAAGTTCATTAATCAAAAAATCTGTTATTATTTTACTAGTGTAACTTTAAAAATTGTTAATTTGTATTTACAATATGAACACAATAAATATTATACACATTTGGTTTTGGACTGCAATATGAAAAATATCTTTTGAGAAATTTTCAAACATTTTCACAAATTAGTGTTTGTATTAGTTTGTACAGAGATGTTTCTGATGTCAGTGCTCTGGCAAAGTTGAAATGTTGATAGTTATCACTTTTTTTGTCTTGATTTATTTACCTCTTGAAAGTAGACCCAGCATATTTAATTACAGTCACATATTGTTTTGTTCATTTGAATACTGCGTTAAAGAAATATGTCTCAGAAAGTTAAAGGTGAAAATAAACAAGAATGGTCAAATCTATTTTTAAGTCAACAAGAAGATTTTCCTAAAAGGAGGTTATTTACACCACAGGCAATAAAAAGTCCCAACTTCTTCTGTTATCGTCACTATTTTGGTTGTTTCAGTCCAATTTTGATGCTTTCCAGTGAAGTAGATGGTAAATAGAAAAGAGCCAGAACATTATATAACAGAAAACCAAAAGATTGATATCCATAATTATAGCAGTAATTAAAAGACAGGATAAATAAGAGACTGCACTTCGCAGTTTAGTGGTTTAGATTTTTAGACGAAGCAATGCCCAGTTCTGGGTCCTACTATCATTCAGAGTAAACAACACATATCCTGCCAAATTACATTCTGGCTGAATAAAGTTCCTTATTAGTTAGAAAGCCAATTTAATACACACCAGTAGAACCTGCCCAGTGCTGGACGACGCCAGATTAAGCAAGACGTTGGTCCTTAAAAAACAGAAACAGTGCTACATGATGTATAACACAAAAAATGAGCTTGGCACATAAAGTAAGTCCTTTGTTACAACAGCGCTTCTTGGCAATAAATCTTATACCATCGGACAGCCTGCTTATTTCCTCTTAAATCAGGGGTGGGGAACTCCAGGCCTCAAAATCTGGTGTCCTGGTTTTAGATATCACCCTTGGTCAACACACCTGAATCAAAGGATTAGTTCATTAGCAGGCCTCCTGAGAACTTCAAGACATGTTGAGGAGGAATTTAGCCATTTAAATCAGCTGTGTTGGATCAAAGACATCTAAAACCTGCAGGACACGGGTCCTTGAGTTCTCCCACCCCTGCCTTAAATGGTGGCACATTTGTAAGGAAAATCCATTTGTGGATTTGATGAATTGCTGCACAATTCATCAAATCAAACTTCTAAAGCTGGCTTCAACAGATTTCAATGTTAAAATTCACAGATTTACAGCCTGGCTCAACAATGGCTTTTGGCTCCTATGGATAGTTTCGTCATTCATAACAGCTTTACAATCTGTGTGTTTAAATAAGTCATCCACTTGTCAGATTTCCCGAAATATGATTTTCTGTGCGGTACAGACCTCCTAAGTAGCTTGTGGTGTTTTAACAGCAGCTGCTAAAACACCAACATCGTGGCTTCATCAAGGCCACAGTGGCTGTGGGCAACATTTTACACCGTCTATGTTCAAAGATCACTTTAAATTGTACAAACACACAACAGTACACAGATGTGAAAAACAATTCTTTTAATGTTAAACCAGTTACAAGTGCAACTTTGATCATCACATCCCACTGTTTAACAGCCTCAATCTTCAAATATGCTTTTAAATGTAATATTAAACAGCGTCTTTTCCCACACCCACCAGGCCATTACATCTTCTTCCTGTAATAACAGACTTTTTTTTTTTGTAATCATTATTAAGTTTCTAGATCATGAGACCCAGTGTTACACCATAATGTGAAGTTTTGATGTGCAGAAGTGTTTATTTCTAATACAATTTTATTTTTATTTTTTGAAAATAATACGCATTATGGTATTAACAGTGTAAAATACAGCACAAACTGCAGCATGACATAAATGAGCTATGGTTCCGGGATAAATGGGAGGCAAAATAAGCAGCCAGGCACAGCTCATAATTTAACCACGACGTGTCACCTCTTCACTTCAGACTGTCAAGCAAGTCACAGGCTACAACCAATTGTTGCTGAGGAAAGGTGAAGAGGTCTCCATCAATGTTAAGAAGGGAAAAGTAAAGAATAATCGCCACAACTTGAATTTTGATTGCTGCTATGCCTGAAGACGTGTACTGAAGATTCAAATGAGTCATTCAGTCTCAGTAACTTAGATATTCACAAACTCCAAGCTATTGCAGCAACACATATCCAAACCACCCCCCAAAAAAGTTAATCCTAGTAATATTTTAATAAAGAAACACAAACATAAAAACCTAAAAATGCGACACCTTGTCAAATCCCACTCTGAAGCCAGCAAATTAAAGAACACAAGTAAGGCAGCATCAGCCTTACTCCAAATAAAGACTAGAATTCATTAAATACGAGGTACAATTATTCATGTTCAGCCTTTACCAACCCCGTGGATGACTGACAGTGTCGTGACAAGTCCGTCAGGTATCTCTGTGGGGTCTTTTGTGTAATTATCAATTTATCTAGCATGCGTTCGCCGATTTCAGGACAAAATGAACCACTTTGAAGCACCCTCACATTTACACCAAGGGGGAATCCGCGTTTGAAATTGTTTACGCCCAGCTGAAGATCGGTCGTCGGCAAGGCAAAACTTCACCCGCTGAGGGATCACTTCCCAAAAATTCAACCCCTCCCTTCGACCCCCTGTGTGTCCCTCTCGTTTCCCCCGCCTCTGAGCTCACTGTACAGCCTGCTCGTTGGCTGTGCTGCCTGAATCCTGGGGCTTCATGACGTCGGGGAGCTCAGGGGGAGTGGAGAAGGGCTCAATCCTCAGCTGCTCAAAGGAATCATCTGGGAGAACGACAGAAAGTTAAAACACAGAGAGAGACAAAAGAGACATTAAATTCTGGAAAGAGATCAAAGTAACATGAAAGGAGATCCAAAGAAATGAATAATTTTGTATCCAGGGGGACCTGAATTTTAAAATAACAGTTTTTAAAACGCCAAAAAGTCACAAAGTGTTTGTTTTGGACAACTAGACCAATGTTGAACACTGAATAAGTTAAAAAGTATTTTCCTTCTTCCGCTGGAAAAAAAATGGCATTTCCTGAGTGACAAAGAAAAACTCTTTGAAAAGCTCTGGCAATCTTTTCTGGCAACATTCCCATTTTTCCTGTTTTCACTTGTATTTTAAGACCATCTCCCGGCAGTCGGTTTCTCTCAGAAAACTCCCAAACCTGCACGACTCTTAAACTTTACCATGAATAACTGGAATACACGGATCAGTACGTTTTGTACGTTGAGCCAACTTTGCCCAATTTGCCAGATTGTCTATGAAATGCACACACAGTACACACTCCAAATACAATTTCAACCCATCTGGCGGCACAAACTGGCAACCCGATTCAAAGGATGTGCCTTGCCAATCTCTACACAGACACCACAGCTGAGTTCTAAATAAATTACCTCTTTTTACCATTTCATCTTTCTTTACTACAAAGACGCAGTAAAATCGCAAGACATAAACAATGATGAGTTCAGCCACATATGTACCCATTTCAGTGTGTGTGACACAGGGTGATGGACTTTGCTAAGTTGGACACATTTACCAAACCGAGCTTCCAGAGTTAATAACACATAATCAAAAACTTGTAAAAATATAAACGCCTCTTTCCAACTGTAGACAACAAGTTGCAACAATTTTCTTTAAAAGCTGGACAATTTAACAGAAGTGGTTATAGCTCACATTTGGCTTGAAAGAGGATAACATATTACAATAACTTACAGTTCAAACAGCAAACTATGACTAGCTTTGCTTACCCATTAGTTGTGGTGGGAACATATCCTATTAAAGTTATTCAGGAAAGTACTTAAAGCCTTTACATGCTGGGCGTGAAAGATTCTTGCGAGCATTTTGGTGCAGCCAGTCCCACCGACTGCGTAATTTTATAGTACTAATTTTTTGGGATCAAGCTCAATTTTTATCATGTGAATGAACAGGCGTCACCAATCAGACCACTGCAATTACCAACAAGTGTGCTTGTAGCTCCAAATGTACACCGATACTGAATACACAAATAGTAACATAATACAATTTCAGCTCAGACACAGCTAAACGCCGTTAGTCGGCTCTCTGAAATGATTTCTTTGCCTCCTCAGATGTGGTCCCAACTCTGCCAACAAGGGTTCAAACTGCCCCACTGACATCGTGATACAGCTTCAACTCCTGTACCAAACCATGAAATTCTGCCTTCTTATCGGAACTGGACAAACCTGGAATCTCCGGTTCTTCATTTTCTTGTTTAAAAACAGCAGAACCAGCTCATCTTTGCTTGATGCAGACTCATTTTTTTTTTAGTAGTACATTCTTTTGAGGACAAATTTTTCACAAAAAGCAACATTTTGGATATGTGCATGTATGTTAAACCAGCGGTCCCCAACCTTTTTTGCGCCACGGACCGGTTTATGTTCGACAATCTTTTCACGAGCCGCCCTTTAAGGTGTCGCGGATAAATACAACAAAATAAAACCAGTACCGGTACCCCAAAAAAAAGAAAAAAAAAAAAAAAGAAGATTTATTCATAACACACGAGAAAAGACCCAGGGAAACCGAGTTAACTATAAAAAAAATAACGTTAAAAAACCCTGAAAACCACAAATTTCACACCCAAGCATCAACTTGCGGTATGATACCAAACGACTCACGGTCTGTGGCCTGATATATATGCTACAACAGAACTACAAACTCCCAGATTTTGAAACTTAAATGTTGGTAGGTATGTTTTTGGAACTTTAGAGATAATTTGGATTGTATAGCACATCGATGTGACAAGTTGCTTAGTGTAAACCAGAATCCAGAATGTAGAATTTGGCTGTTATCTTTTTTTCCCTAAACCTGAGTTCAGATCAAGCGAATAAGCTCACAGTAAAATCTAGTATTGAGGTGGGTTAGAAGATGAACTACTCACCACTCAGACGAAACGCTAATCCCACCGTGGCCGGGGCCTGAGGCCGGGCTGTCTGATTTGTGAAGCCGCAGTTTCCAAGAGTTTGACTGTCATTAAGCAGCACGTCATCCTGAAGAAGAAAGAGTTAAAAGAAGCAGACATCTTCAGAGATTTGCAGGATCAAGTTTGCAGGACAGACTGTTTTGTAACAAAGCGAAAATGGCGAGGCCTTGTTCTCTGATGTGAAGACTGCTTGTACTCAACAAAAAGCCAAAGTTTGAGGAAAGGAAAAAAAGGAAGCCCAATGATGTGTTCAGATAGAACCTGAACCAAAGTAAAAATATTTAAACTTTGTAAAAACTTTGATTTTTTTTTTTTTTTTTTAAATGAAAGATTAGACTTTCCTGACAAACTGAAATGGAGGACAAGCTTTTTGTAATTGACATTGACTCAACTTCACTTTTACATTGAGAGGGGAAAGGGGGAGGGGGGGGGGGGGGGGGGGGGGGTTGAGGAAATGTAGGACTTCCTTCTAATTTCTGAAAATATGTTACTGTCACTTGATTTCAGTTATAAATTATAAGTTTGCTCCTGTCCGCTGACTGCTGGGTCTAAACATTCAGGGGAGACTTCAAGTAACAAAAGAAAACTTTGATTCACGTTTTGTGAGAACAGCTTTGTCAAGTGAATAAAGGACAGGTATTAGAGCTCCAGCTATTATTTTGATTAACAATCTTTTTTTGAGACATTGCTTAGAGTATAAAATTGTAAGGTTAAAAAAAATACTATTAACAAGGTTTCCAGGTAATTTATTTCACCTTATAAAGCCTCTGATCTTCAGGTGGCCTCTTTAAAATGCCCTCCACGATGCGCTTCAGTTCGTAGACGGTGGTTGACTCTTTGGCATCTGTGAAGATGGTCGTCTTGTGACGTCGGATCATTAGAAACACATCCTGCAGTGAGATGAAGTGACAGGAGAAAATCAGATAGTGATGATAGTGATAAACACTGTAACCCTGATTCTCAGAAACACACGTCCTGTCTTACTGAATTAAGCTCAATTCTGTTTTCTGAGCATTTATATCAGATACTGCTCATCTCTGTTGAGCCTACAGAACGTATCCAGTGCCATCACCAGATAGATTTATCACGTGAGAAAAAGCTGGTTAAAGTTTGAGCAAAACAAACAGACGGTAGATGGGCGTTTATAAACTGAAACAGTCTCTGCTTAACCAGGTTATTCTGTGTGGGAACACTTTGGTAACTTTATGAGTAAGCCAAGTCACTTCTCTACACCTCACGTTTTAAATAGCCGCAGTGACACATAGCTTAGCTAAGGCAGTTTTGACCAAAGCTCCAGCCATCTGTTAACGCCAGCTGTAGCGGCTTCCTGGATCAACTGTTTTCACAGACTTGAACTATAAAGTTGACAGTTTGTGTTTCAACTCCTCTAACTTTTAAAACAAGCCCCGCTCACGCTAAACAACCATTTTTTATCTAAGTTACATACATGGCAGCGTTAGCTGATAACTTTAGCCAGTTAGCTTTTGTGCGGCTAGATGGCTATTTGAGCCACAAAAATTTGGATGATTTATCTCGAACAACAGTCAGTTCGTTCACATTGATCGGACCCCACTGTGCTTAACTTGCTATCAACTTGAAGAGTATAGCGCAACGAGCCACCATGAGCTACTGTATTGACTAACGCAGGAGAAGCTAGCCAATGCTAGCAAAGGTTAGCTAAACAAAGACATTCGTCTCTGAGTGATTGCTTTGTGACCAGCTTAGCTGCTCAAATCAGGCATTTTACCGCTCTGGGGAGGGTTTGCCGGCTGACCTAAAGTCGGTTTTTCGTAGTCAACAGGCCACTATATTCTGTATGTGTTTTCCTCACTCACCATTTCTTGCGGTTGGCTGCACACAGTGGGGAGAAAAACTGCACTGCACAACGACAACTATGAGCTCAGAGCAGCATCAGACAGCCACCGCTTTAACTCCACCATCCACCAGCTGAGGGCAGCGCGCACAGCGCCGTCACTCTGTGCATGCACAAACTAATGCAACAGGAGAATATCTGTCTGAATGTCTTATTTCTCTTCATAACTGCTTAAATTATCAGAGTTAATCGGAGCTCCCGTTTTATGAAGGATTGCACCACGTTTTTCCCCACACACTGAGACGTTTTGTTTTGCAAAAGTCAACACGTGAGCATGAATACTGAAACTCTGGGCTTAAATAAATGTGGAAAATTAAAATTTAAAATAAAACAATGCTTTTGTTAATTCACAAAAAATCAGAAATTTCCATAGTAAGTGGGGCGAAACAGGAACTCTGCCATTTAACGGTTTATCTGTTACTTAATTACTTTGGTGTAGTATGAATGGGCGAGGTCCTTATCAGCATGAAAAGTTGTAAATCTTATAAAAGCACGGTTAAAAGCTTAAAATGAGTGCCCTGCTTGAATATTGTTCAAAGCTAACCTGTGGGCCGGGTTGGAGTCATTGCTGGCCAGATTTTGGTCCCTGGGCCTTGAGTTTGATACCCCTGCCATCGATGGTTAGCAGACAGATTAGTAGATGATTTTACAGCTGATAGTTTTAGCAGTCACTAGAGTTAAAAATACTGTTTTTAGCAGATGAGAATAGTGTTCAAATACAAAATTATTTTATAAGTGCAAAGATTGTGTGTGTTTTTATCTATAAAATATTTATAATTATTCTGGATATTTATAAATGAACTCATCTATTTTGTTGAGATCTGGGGTAGGTCAAGGAAATCTTAATTTCTTTTCAGATTTTTTCTGATCTCGCAAGAAGCTTCCTCCTTTTGGATTCAACACAAGTAAAGTTTTGTAACATCGACACCTTTTAAACTGTTTCATCACGCCTTCCTTCCCTCAGAGATGAGTGGGATGACTGACCTGACAACAGCTGAGGTTTGGTTTTCTGTCTTGACCCTCAGGAGTCAGCAGTGTCTAAAAACAGTGCGACAGAAAAACACACACTTCTCTTTACTGTAAAATAAGAATAGCAGAAGTGAGTTGTAGGCTCGTCAACTGATTCTTGGAAAACTTGTAAATCAGCTGTTTGTGAAATTATTGTTAAAAAAAAAGAAGAAAGTTTTACTTTGTTTTTTTCCAGTCTGGGTCCTCTTACTCCAACAGTCTGAAGACATGCATCGGGTAACTGGCGAGTCTAAATTGGCTGTAGGTGAGATTGTAAGTATGAATGGTTGTCCGTCTCTCTGTGTTATCATGCGATAGGCTGGCAACCAGGGTGTACCCCTCTCTCACCTTAAGGTAGCTGAGTTGGCCTCAAGAACCCCCAGATTGGATAAGAATAACATGGATAGTCAATAAACAAAAACTATTCACTAGTGATTAAAAATGATATTTAAATAAAGTTTATTGGCATCTTTTACCTTTTTACAAACAGAAAACATCAACGATCAGCAGCCTAAACCTTACCAGTGGAGGTGGCTGAACTGCTTGAAGTCATAAAAATAATAATGCTATACTGATCAGTCTCCTATGGCTCAGAAAACTGTCTCGCCTTCCTAACCTACATTTAGCTTGTTCCAGTCTCAACACTGCAGACATGCTGCTATATATTTTAAGCAAGACATTTTGCTGCAGTGCTACAGCAAAAAACTGAATTAAAATACTACATCCAAAAATACTTGCGAATGAAAAATAGGTGGAGCATCTCAGTGTATCACAGACAAAGTGGAAAATGCTGTCGAAATGCACAGCTTCATCAACAAATCCTCTCCACAGAACTCAGTACTAGAACATCCCGGTCCACTCATCAGGGTTTCCACCAGAACGAATACCTCCAGGACTGAACACGTTCTTCTTCCCTGGTTTGCTGCTAAAGCAGCTCCAGTTTGTTTCCAATTAAAGTGACCTGAAAATAAAACTGAGACAAGTTGAACATCACTGTTAAGTCAGTTTAAAACAACACAGTGTAGTGTCACTAAAACTGGCATAATATTTTAAGACGTCTCACTGCTGGATTTGAAGTCGTTCAACTGATTTCTGATGCTTGTTAAAAGAACACCTCAATAATCTAACCGAGAGAAAATATAAACCTGAATAATTGCTATAGAAACAGTAATTACCTAATCCCAGTGATATATTCCACAAATGCCCCATATGCTTCACACAGTTCCAAACAACAGTAAAATACAGAATATTATATTACAGTGTGGTGCACAACTCCACATAAAACTCACCGAATAAACTTCTATCTAACCACAAAGGCACTCTCTCGGATCTTGGAAAGTGGAAACTGTGAAAAAATGGATTACACAGAAAGTCATTTTACTTTACCTGTAAGATTTATTAAAGATTTATTAGAACTCAAATTTTAAAACCTACACTTACATCCAGTTCTCTGGGGAATTGAACAGGCTCTATTCCCTTACAGCAGAGCACTGAGAAAGGCCTCTCCTCGGTCTCTGAATGCTCTTTGAAGCACAGACTGAACACTTTGGCAGGCAGGTAAACATCCCAGTCAGCTGCATGCTCCTCTATTAGATCGTTCACCATCCTGTTTGATTAGGAACATTACAGCACTGAGATGTTACTATCATGACAGAACATCCAGGTATTATGCGCCGATTGTTTGTAATAACAGTTTGGTTATGTCACAAAAAACAAATATTAGCACACCCTGGCTTTTTACAGACCTGTCTATCAGCTGTGGTGTGATCATATCTGCGATGCCCGTCTGCTGATGATAGACCACAAGAGCAACAGCAACCTTCAGCTGATCTTTCAGTTCTCGGTTGATCTGTCATCGGGAAGACATTCACACAGTATACAGTTGTATGAAACTGGACAATGAGGACACACTATAACATTAGTTTATAACAAAAAAAAGTATCATGCATTATATTATGAGCTGGAAGACACAAAGGGCTTTTTCAGCTGGTGGTAATTCATTTCCAGTATAACATGTTATACTGGACAATTCAGAGTATATGTTTAATTTAACAAAAATAAAACCAATATTATTTCATTAGCATTTAATTATCATGACATCTCACAGAATAGATAAAGTTTCATTCTCAGCACCATATTTTTATACTGGAACTCTAAAAAAAACAACTGTATTCATGCAAGTACCACAAGACAAAACTGTTACCCATTTGGAACAAACCACAACAGTATATGTGTGAAAGAAAATAAGGAGGAGTATATTAGCTTCTCTTTATGCATTATATGATTGCCGAGTTGGTCTTGTGAAGGTTAAATATGCTCTTCTAAATTAAAAGCATGTCACTATAATAACTACACATGGGTTTAACTGCCTTGGGTTTGGTTTTCAGGCACTAATTCCAAGTCAGATTTATAAGGCACTTTAAAAAATGCAAGTTTCTAAACTTCAACTACATTTTTGATGTTGATATGAAATCAGGTTTTGCAAAACAGTCCAGGCAGATTAATCAAGTGTGCGCGCTCACTTTGTGGACTATGTCAAGAGGCAGTCTAGAGAGGATTCTCAGTGGATATCCAAAGTGCGCAATGATGTCCACGACGTTCTTTGCCACATCTGAAGGGAGGCACGCTGTCATCGGCACAGCTTCCACCCATTTGGAGTAGAAGTCGGTCACCGTCAAAATGTATTTGTGTCCGTTTACTGTTTGAGGCAGCGGTCCTCGGACATCCAGAGCAAGCCACTCCCATGGCTCCTTCACCTGCAGTCAGGACAATGCATCAGGCAGAGGGACAAAACCACCCAAAACCCTGGTTTGGATTTGGAGTAACACCTGCAGGTAATCGTACAACAGACGTACCTCTATAATGTTTTCATTGTCTTTATCCTCAGGCTGTAAAAATGACAAAAGAGGAGGTGAATTAAGTGCTCCACGATATAAAAGACAAACCTTTACAGATTAAAGGGGTGTAAGAATAATGCAGCAGAGACAGGAAACTGTGACACAATTGTGCGCAACACTTAGTGTCCTGATACCCGTGTGGAGCCCTTGGTTAAAGCTAGTCTGGTGAATTCTGTTTAAAAATGTCCCAGTAGTGGGTGAACTGGAAATATATGAGAATAAAAGTTTATTTTTTGTTTATGATCCAATCAAGTGATCAGGGTTGTGGTTTTAGTGTTCATCCGTTCATCCAGTTTCAGAGAATTATTACATCCCCAGTAGACTGAAAATATTCTACTTACACTGAAATTATTATCTGGAGCCCAGTGGATACTCTGTTGATGCAGGTGGAAACACACACATAGATTAACTCGCACTAATGAAGATAAACAACAAGATAAAACATATCGGATATGCCGTAAATGCCATAAGATTAGCTAAACATAAACTCTTAAGCTATCCCAGTGATCAGTATGTATATAATACAATTCCATTTACCTGTGGTACACAGTAATCTCCATGAAAAAAGTGTGGAAATGAATCGATCTTCATCAGTGCTTCATCAATTATAATCCTCCATTTCTCTGACGTTTTGGGATCTCTAATCATTAAAACAGAAAAAAACGTAAAACATTAAGGAAACGATAATATATATCTGTACAGAAATTATTAACAAAATAAATAAAAGAACAGGAAAATTTTTAAATTTATGAAGGAGAAGCACCAAAGAAACCTCTCTGGTGTTTGATTTGATTTGATCTTTTTCCAAGAGAAAACCTGTGATCGACCAGAAAGTCATCTTTGCCAACACAACAAGTCCCAAGGAGACCTTTGGTTAGATCTGAAAACTGGTTTAGTGACCTAACCAGTGGGCAGATCTCCAATGGACCAATACAGAAAACCACCATGACTGTAAATTTGTTTTTAAATGCGTGTACAGCAGGAAAATGTCATCTTAAATGCTTTTATCAGCTTTTAAAAGAAAAAAAAAACAACAACTTAGGTTTGACATTGTGTTATACCTGCAAACTGTACCATCCAAAACAACCTTTTTGCAAGATTACTGTGGTTTTTAGGCTTGTGGATTAAATATATATCAATTTAAAATCTGAGGCGTTTGTATAATGCTAACTGCTTCTATAAAGACATTTATGAGCCACAATCTTTCAGCAGGTAGCAGCTGACAAACCAGATTGTTTTTATACCTCTGAGAGAAACTGACTAGTCAGAAGTAACATGTTTAGTCCTTTTATCCTTTTTAATCTTTTGCTTTTCTTCTAAAACTTCTAACAAATCTTAAATGTCCCTCACTGAGCACAAAACAAATATTTTTCTCAGCAAATAAATATCAAGCATCAAAACCACGCAAAGAAAAATGCTTTGTTTTCAGAATTTATGTGCATATTTGAATGTGTAGCTTATGACTACAAGGCAGCACTTTTAAGTACACCTGTGTGAACGATAAGAAGTGCACTAAAACTAAACTCGAGACTACAAGTTGGTCAGCAATATGGCTTTCTTTCCCAAACTACACGGTCACTATAAATATACAGTGGAATATAACTGAATCAATCTGTGACACCTAGAAACTGTTTCTCATAACCTCATTATGGTGTGAATGTTAAAAGCTCAGCAAATATATAACAAAAAAGTTGCAGATTCAGTGAATTAAGGAGCGATGAGAACAGGAGGAAGTTGGTTTTAGAGAATAATATGGAATATGCTGCTAATATTATTTAACACAATCTAAATTTTGATCTCTAAGCTCATCCAGCCTTGTTTCCTTTATTGAACAAACACTGCAAAAATTAAACCTTTCTTCATTTTAAAATGTTATTAATAACATATAAAGCCCTACATGGCTTGGCTCCTACCTATACAGCAGATCTGCTTAGACTGAAGAGGGTCATCTGGGTCTGAAAAGGTCTTTTAACTGTTTTACGTCTTTACTTTAAAACCAGAGGTAATAATGCTTTTGAGGTTGCCACTGCTAAACCTTCCTCAGCTTATCAGGTTGGCTGAATTTTTTATGGTTGGTTTTCAGTGACGCTTCATAACTCCGCTTTTCCTTAATTGTTTGACTGTTGTTTTTGGCCCTTGGTTCTTTGAATGTGTGTATGCAGGAATGAATGTAAGACTAACTGCATGTTTAATTATGTACACTTATCCTTAATGTGTGGTTTTATTCAAACGGTTAAGCACTTTGTAAATATGCACTTTACAAATAAATGTATTATTAATAATTAACAAGCAAATATGCACAAGAAGCTAATGGCAGTCTTCAAACTGTAAACACTGACTTATTAGACGTATAATTAATGATTTAAGAAACTGGCTCCATAGTGTAGCTGTTCACACATTTGCCTAAAAAGTGAAAGATAACAAGGAAGAGACACAAATCCCTCATGAAGGGCATCCGTACTGTGCATACTGAAGCATTACTGCTTATTATTGATTTATGAAAAGAGGACTAGGACAGTAAACGTCTCCTTGTGTGTAGTTACATACCCAGATGTCTCTTGGTCTGTCTGGCTGGGTTCTTTGGCCCGGACACTGTCGTCTGTTGCAGGGAGAGCTGATGTTGCAGATGCAGCCAAATCCTTCTCTGAGCTTTTAGCACCAGGTTGCTGCTTTCACAATAAAATAAACAACACGTAATGCATTTAGAAAAATGAATAACATTAAACGTTAAACAATAAAAAGCTAACTGTCTGGGTCAGCTCACCTTGTGTCGTTTACGTCTCGGGTTAATGGCAGCCTGTATCAAGGAGACAGTAACAACACCTTTATTTTTAAAAAGCCGCTGAGGTTTAAACAGAAAAACAGGAGGAGTTTCATTATGCAGCTTTAAATATTTCACAAATGTTTTATTTCTAAATGATGCCAACAATTATCTATGATACACACAAACCTTCTTTTTCTGTGTGTTGTCAGTCGGTGTAAATATGGTGGGAACCGCATCTTCCCGAAGTGTCACACTTTTGCCCGTTTTGTCAATGTACTGCTCCTCAAAGTGATTGATGCACAGAACAGAAAAGCGAGTCGGCGTCCAGTCCTTCCACTTCATGTTCAGTACCCATTTTTTAAGTTTTCGGGGATTGTACAGGGGAAACCTGCATGCACACACAGAAAACATTTTTTTCCCGTGTGAAAAGTAACTCACTAAAAATTGTGTAGAGTTCAGTAAATTTTACCTGTTGACTAACTCTGTTAAAACTAATTATGATATGCTATATGTAATATAACACTCAGTATTTCCAGCGTGATATACTGAACGTAAGCTAGATAATTAAACTTAAACAACAGAAAAACATAATAATAAGAGCATAATTTACTGTTAAAGATCTTAATCTGGAGTATTTTTGTCTCATAGATGTAATTTAGAGGATCTTAAGTGGTCTTTTTTCTTCTTCTTTTTTCAGTTGCTGCCTTTAGGGGTCGCCACAGCAGTTCATCTGCCTCAATCTCAACCTATGCTTAGCATCCTCCTCTGTCACAGCAACCCTCTGTATGTTCTCCTTTACCAAATCCACAGCTCCATGTTAAGCATCGTTTGTCCAATATATCCACTGTCCCTCCTCTGCATATGTCCAAACCATCTAAAAAAAATGCAGCTTTCTAACTTTGTCTCCCAACACTCAACCTCAGCTGTCCCTCTGACATACTCATTTCTAATCCTGTCCATCCTGCTCATTTACAATAAAAATCTTAACATCTCAAACTGCGCCTCCTGTCTTTTTGTTAGTGCCACCATTTTCAAACCATAAATGATAACATGTCTCACTAGCATCTTGTAAACCTTCCCCTTTACCCTTGCTGCTATCCTGTCAAAATAAATAAATAAATAAATCACCCGACACTTGTCTCCACCCACTCCACTCTGCCTGCACTCTGTTCTTCACCTCTTTTATGCACTGTCTATTGTTTTGGATGGTATGTAAACTCATCTATCTTCAGTACATCTACTTCTTGCAGTATCACACCTGTATCCCTCTCATTTCTCTTCTCTCTGAAGTCCACATCTTCACACCTGTTCCTTACTGTCAGTATAGGTCACAATGTTCCCTGCATCACAGTCCATGAAAACTATGGACTATGATGTTTGTTGCTGAAAGAAGCACCTCAGGGCTGATCCCTGATACACTCCCACCAGCACCTTAAACCCTTAAGTCACTCCTACAGCACACAGCTCACAAGTGGTTCTCAAACGATTTGACTTAGAATTTAGTGTGAATAAAACCCCTCTATTGCAACTGCATAAAATAATAATAATGCTGCAGCAAAATGTACAGTGATAAACTTTATTTGTTTATGCCCTTTTTTTTGCTTAGTGAGCTTGTGTACACGTCTCGGTAACTTTTCCAGGTGCACTCCGAACTGCACTCCCATGTATACAGAAAAAGATCTAATTATGTGGGCTTAAAATGTTGAGAAAAGGTGGAAAATTTGAGTCTTAACACTGATACAAGCCTAGTTCTGTCAGCCACTGGTACTTTACAAACGTGCTTCTAGCTGTCTGTTGGTTTAGTTTAACCAAAAAGCAGCGCTATTGTCGAAAACTTACTTAAAAAACTTTACGTCTGGATCGCTCGAGGTGTCGCAGTTGTAGGCACACGTATATCTCCCCATTTATGGTCAAATTTCGGTCAAGTTGGAACCACAAAAACCGATTTTGTTGTTGCTAACGCTAAAGTTGTATGAGAAACGTCTCCAGCTAACAACAATTTGGACACTTCAACATCCGGAAGGACATTTCAAAATAAAGGTCGCATTTATTTTTCCTTAGAAATATGTACTTTTTTTTACATTTATCATTAAAAATTAATAATATTTAGGATTGATAATTAATATGATTTTTGTTTTTTCAAAAATCGTGGTATTTGTGAAAATTCCTGATATTGAGATTATGTTTAACCATATGGTGAAAACTACAGAAAATTAATTTGCTGGATCCATAAATGTGATATTTCTTTGAAATGATCTCCTAAACTAATAGCTTTTTCTTTTTGGGGGTTAAGTCTACAATTTCGTGTTATCGTTCAGCAACTGTGGTTTCCCCAGAAAGATATGTCCATAAAATCACTTGTCTTACTGTATGTAATGTAATAAATTGAATTTAGGCATTAAAAAATATATATATATGTACTTTAAAACACAGCCACAATTCACTAAGACTAAAATTGACTGGGAGGACTGAATTATGTATCGATTATGTTTACATTTACTCTTATAGTGATTTGTCTCATTTTGTAAATTCACTTATATTTTAATCTACTTTTTCAATTTTTTTTAAATGACAAAAAAACAAAGTTAAGAACAATAAGTAAGAAATAGCCCTGTGGCATGTAAGAAAACTTCAAGTATTATTATTATTATTTTGTGTTTACGTACTATTAGTAAATTATAATTTTACTCAACGATGTTTCGAACTTGACATATCCGCTTTGCACCGGATGTTGTTGCTCCCTCTTCTTTGTTGTGCCTTGATTGGTTAAGGCAGTTTAATACCGCCCCCTTCCCTACCGTTTTGTTTTTGCATCTATACTTTGATATTTTCTTCAAAATACCCACACAAAAAAAGCTCCAAGATCATTTTCTCCGTGGTGATCTGCTGGGTTTTTTTTAATTACTTAAAATATAAAAATAAATAAAATATTATTCTTGTAAACATATAAACTATTTTTCTCTGGAGAGTTGGGGCAGCTAAATGAATCAAACCAGGCATACTTAAAAACACCTTTGTTTATTTAAAGCTTCTCAGCTGCTTTTTGTTTTCCACTCGACTCTCCACTCATCCCAGTCGATCAGGGTTCGTTTCATGTCCCATCCTGCAGCTTCAGCACCTGAAGGTTACATTTCCAGAATCATGCTTCCACTAAAGGAATCAGAGAGGATGATTGGTAAGTTAAAGCAGTTTTGCATGTGCTCACCCTTAAGTAATGGATTGAAAATGGCATCCATCAGCTTGTGACTCTTGTGCACCATTTCCCAGTGACCTTCTAAAAAGAAAAGAGGAAGTTTTACAGTTCTTCACATTTAAACAGTTAAACATGGAAAGAGGTAGAGGCTCACTTTGTTGTTTCGGTGCAGCCCCTGTAGCTTCTCTGGAGTTTGACGAGCTCAGCATGTTGCCGAGTACTACCGCCTGGCACATCGCTCTGATTTCGTCACTCACTGAAGCTTCTGGTCCCAAACAAACACATACACAGCCTGCGAGAAAGACAGGAGGTTTAAAAATAACTTTCCAAGTATGTAAACATGCTGCTTTTCTTTGCATGGGTGGAAGACAGCATACCATTTCTGACTCCTAACAGGTAAGGCATGCTGTTTTCCTTCAAAGCCAACTCAAGATCTTCTGGGCTGCAAAATGAGCAGAACGATAATGAAATTCCTTTTAGTTTTATGACATGTTTCCGAAGTGTTTTTAACTTCAACATATAACAGACCAGTGGCTCACAGCTGGAATACACAAACTGTGGCAGGAGGAGGAATCTTTAAACAGCTCATCGTTTTTATCCATAAACTGTTTCAGTTATTTAAGATCATCAAACTTTCTGCCCGTCACAGTTTCTGTGTGTGATTTAAGACAGACTGATTTGGGGGTCAGAGGAAGGTGGACAGAACAGACAAGGAGGCACATGAAATGAGAAAAGCCTTCTTCTTCTTTGCTTCCTCCACTTGCATTGGTGTGAGGAACTAAGACGCAAGGAAAAGAATCGAAAACATGTAATTTGAGAAATGAACGTTTCAGCTTTTCAGTGTCTGACTTTAACTATTTAATAAAAACTTCCCTGTTCTGGATTTTTCCTCCTTGTCTCACTCTTCCCCTGCATATTTTCATTGCTACTGCAACATTTAAATGCGTGCAAACCAAGTTTTGAAATCACCTCTGTGCAATCTCCTGCAGCCTCACTCCAAACTTTATCGGCACAGTTTGCCCAAACTCTAAAACAAAATCAAAAGCAAAACAGAAGACAACTTAATAAGATTTACAATGACTCGACACAGGACTCTACCCTGCCAGTGTGATAGCACAAAAAACTTAATTCTTACCAAAGAAAACTGGTTCTCTCTGATTGGCCTCTGGTGGACTCAGGATTCGTTTGTCCTTCAGGTACTGCTGCAGTACGATAGAAAGCCGTGCTTCGTTGAAGGTTTCCATGACAACTGAACGCACAGCCTTGTAGTTGGCAAAAAGATGAAGCACGGTGAAGAGGAAGAAGAGGCAGAGAGTCAATCTAAACAAGACAGAAAGGGAGAAAGAGACTGAGGTGGGTGATGTTAGAGGCATGAAACACTCTAAAGCAACAGTTCACCCACATTATTTACTATTACTATTTTTTTTTTATTATCCTATACTTTGATTATCATTTTTTTGTTCTTTTTCTTTATTTTTTTTTTCTCTTTGATAACTTTACTTGCTGTGCAGTCGTTTAAGTCAAATTTACTTGACCCGATCCTTCTAGATCATTTTGTCTGGGTTTGGAAGTACCAGCTAAGGAAATGTCCACCTTGTCTTATAATATAATAAAACTGTACCACAATCACCTTGAAGGCTCAAAGTGCCAAGAAAAAAAGGTTTTTCTCCAAAACTAGAACCTCACATCAAAACAATCATAAACAGCATTGCAGGCTGGAGCAAAAACATGTTTTTTGGGTAAACTGACCCGTTAAGAATATAATTAGTATTTGAAATATAGCAAAACTTACACTGGATTATCAGTGACGAGGGGAATGAGTATCAGACTGACCAGCAGTCCGGCCAGATTCACTAAAGTCTCCTAAAGGAAAACACAGAGATGATGATGTTATGATGGCTTTACAGATTTGCTACAAATTACCTGTTTTTTACTGTGTGTCTCTGGAGATAAACATTGTGTACATAATAAAATGTATCTGCTTCAGTAGCAGGGACCTGAAATGTTGCTATTATTAATCAAACGTGCTTTACCTGGTTTAACTTAAAACTACCATTAAAGGGCTTTTTGTGCTTCTTTCTTGTGCCACACCAAAATATTGTATACAGAATATATCCTTTTCTAATTACCATCACATTAAGTTTCCATCCTGGTACATTTGAAAGATTGAAAACATGTAGACAATGAACAGTGTAAAACTGCTCACGTTGGTTAGCTTGATGATACACAGTGTGATGAAAGTAGGAAGTGGCAGCTACCTGACTGCCGTCTTTGGCAGAGATGTCAGCCATGTTGTCTCTGCGGGCCTGATGAACAGTGAGAGCCGCTCTGGTCGCACCACCTGCCACTCCAACAATAGACTGGAGAAGACAAACACAAATGGATGACATGCAAGATAACGCAACGTAACGTTTTATACTTTTTCTGCATCCTTGCACCTGGGCTGTCCTTGGTCAACTAGACAGGAATTTCATTTTTATATCACCTATTTAGCAATGGGAATAGCCTTTTAAATTGTGGTGTACATTAAATAATTTTGATCAGAATTAACCTGTTTTTTGTTTGTTTGTTTGTTACCTTGAATATCCCTGCAGTGCACACAATGAAGGTGAAGCAAGCAGGAAAGTAAGGAGCCAGTATTTCCATGAACATGGCAATGTCATTGAGCACATCAGCAAAAAGTCTAATTGGGAATTAAAAAACAAACAAAACTCAAATGGGTTTCCTGTGGTGACTGGAATGACTTGTCTTACACATTTATCACATACCTCCATTTTTTTGCTTCAGAGTCCAGCTTACTCCTGGAAAAAGACGAAGAAAGTTACTCTGAACATAATTTCTATCAGAACAAAAGCCAATGTTGTGTGTGTGTGTGTGTGTGTGTGTGTGTGTGTGTGTGTGTGAGAGAGAGAAGAGACTGGCAAATGGCATTGAAGGAAATACTGATAGAATCACTTCCTTAAATTTCCTTAAAGCACTGAATTTTATGCACTTTAAAAAAAATTTATCATCAGTGGCCACAGTTGTAGAATCTAAAGTATTTGCTTTTGCACACTGGGTTAGATCTTCTCATATAAGCCTTACCCTTTCTGCCAGGCGAAGAGGATTCTTCCCAACATGCCAGTCCCATCTGCAGGGAGACACATTTGTTTGTTATCGAAACACCAGTGAGGTCAGCACGAGCTGTGCAGGGTTAATGTAAATGTAAATGTACTTTTCCACCTTTTAATAACCAGGTAACAGTGGCTGCAGCTACGGTGGCCTCCTGGTTTCCAACACCAACACCTCTGAGGGAAGCCTGAGTGGCGAGAGTCCCTGACAGGGAACTGGAGAAGGCCTGAGAGAGGAGGAAGAGCGTGACTGAAGGGGTTTAATGTCACAGATATGTAACTATCCCTGTTGTATTACCCACTGTACCTGCATTGTATCCCAGAACTGGTACTGCAGATAATCATCACTCACACTCTCTGGATAACCTTGAGGCAGAAAGACGCTCTGAAATCAAAAGTTCAAACTTCAGGTTGATGTTTGCAGTTAGCGTAAGCACAATTAAGTTCACTTGTGCCTTACTTTAAAAACTCCAAAAACCGAGTTTCCTCCTGAGTGACCTTCACTCCCATCTCTCCTCCTCTCCATCACTCCATCTTTTGATACATACTTCCAGGATTCTGCACTGCCATATCTCTCTGTTGCCAAAACCACACCTTTGTCCGTCTCCATTTATACTTTTAAGAGCGATAGTCGGAGGGATGTAAACGATTTTTTAAACAAACTGAGCAATTCTGCGGCTTCAGATCCACTGGAATGCATTTAATTAAAGCCCAGCTAAAAGTGGACTTCAGCGTGACAGAGCCGACGTGTCCTGTTTTGTTTTGATTTGTGACGTTTCCGGGTTTGCTTCCGCACTCACAGTTTCCCGATCACTCATTGGTGGATTAGAAGTTCAAGGCGGAGCCCCAGCGGAGACGCTCAAATGATGTCAAAGAAACGAGAAATAGAGTTTTTTTTTCTTCGCTTTTTACGGTCTTGCTGGAGGAACAATAAATATTTTTCATAACCATGTGTCAGTTAACATGAATGAACTCAGATGATAAAAAACAAATACTGTCAAAAAAAAAAAGCGTACACAAGCAGGATAAATAAATAAAATATAAATAATAAATAAAAATAAAAATGTGATACCAACATTGCAATGCACATTCATTTAAGACAATATCTACAGTTTCTTTCCCCTAAATTTCACCAACCTTGTTTCATACGGCTCATGCAATGAACTTCACGTAATTTAACCATTTTTCCATTCTTTAACTTCCAGGTGATTTAAAATTAAACATAAAAGTATAAACACAATACATACAGTTAAATAAATAAATAGAAATGGTTCACCCTGTCTTAGTATGGCACCTGCTTTTTCTCTCTCCCCTCTGTGCAAGTGAATGGTGATTAACCAATCCTTTACAGCAGTGGGTGTGGTGTCTGATAACCCAGAGCAAGCACACCTGTTGTACACCTGAGTGATCATCCTCATTATTTAAATTCAGAGTGCTGCTCAGGACCGGATTGTTAAACAGTTTTTGTGGTACTGTTATTTAGGGGGTTTAGTGCAATTATGAACTGTTTGCTTGGGTTTAACCTGTGAGACACTCACCTGCCTTTCATTTCCTGTGTTCCTCTCTGGAGAATCTGGACTAATCCACGTACCTGCCTTGTCCATTCCCCCTTTTACCAGCTGGAAAATAACCTGCCTAATGGAAGCCAAGCCCAATCACAGTACTTTGCAAAGACAGGAAGTTGGTGGGAGGTTTTCCTGGTCCTTACTGGGGAGTTAACCCACATTCTGAGGAAACAAACTTCACTGCTGCAGAAAGCAGTAATCGAACTTTTGCACCTAAGGACCATTTGCTTAACTACGAATGGTTTTTCAACCAGTTTATTAACCAGTTAATTCTTGAGTTCCAGTTGTTTATCTTGCAAACCCACCTGTGCTCTGCTGTATTTACTCCTGTTTTACTGGTATTAAAGTCAAGTCAAGATACTCAGACTACCACAAACGTTATAGCTGTGACACTTAAAATTGATTTAATTCAATTTCATTTATGTAGTGCCAAATATAATAACAGTTGCCTCAAGGTACTTTATACTGCAAGGTAATGAACGTACAATAACACAGAGAAAATCCCATCAATCAAATGACCCCCTTTCACCAAACACTTGGCAACAGTGAGAAGGGAAAAGTCCCTTTTAACAAGAAGAAACCTGAAGCAGAACTAGGTTTGGGGAGGGGTGACCATATGCTGTGACAGATTGGGGGTGAGGGAAGAGAAACAGGACAAAAGACAGACTGTGGAGGAGATCCAGAGTTTAATATTAACTAATGATTAAATGCAGAATTAAATGCAGGTGTGTAAACACACAGTGAAGAAGAAACAGTAATGCATCATTGGAAGCCCCTAGTAGCCTAAGCCAATTCTAAGGCAAGAATCAGGGTCACCTGATCCAGCCCTAACTATATGCTTTGTCAAAAAGGACATTTGTAAGCCTAATATAATTCAGCCTGCGGATGTAAGAAAGACCTGCTTCATGTGAAGCACAGAAGTTAAACTGATAAAGAAATAGAAATTCAACAAGAAACTAACCAGCAGTAGACCAGTAAAAATGTTGAAGCCAAAGCGTGTCTAGTGTTCATAAAGACCTGGGTTCATAGTTCATCCATCATTTTTATGAGCATGCCAGAGAGCTACTGAAATATAAAATCCAGTATTAAAACTTTAAAAGTTTTAATACAGGATGGAAAGTGATTTATAAAACTTTGGATGCAGAAGTACATATAGATAAATATATTTTTTCAATTATAAATAAATAGTTATAGTAGTTACATAGTTAAATATTTACCTATAATTTTGCAAGCTGTGGCTTTAGTTGTTCAAGGTAGTTTCTTAAGATTCCTGTAAGCAGTGCATTGCAATCATCCAGCAAACTAGAGATACATGGATGAGTTATTTAGTTACATGATAACCGCTGAATCTTTATTATATTTCTGTGGTGATAAATCAGATTCTAACAATGTTCATGATGTGGCCCAGGAAATCTGTAAAGTGAGGTCAGCATCTGTGAGACTCCAGTGGTCAGGACCGCTTTCTGATCAAAGTTAAACTGAAGGCGGTTTTAGCCATACTGTTATCAACATCAATGAAACTGATAGTGTGTCAGTCAGCAGACTGGGAACGCTGTGTCAGGAGCATAGTTGATGACACATGCTTATGACACACTCAATTAACAACCACGTATTGTGATTGTTAATCAAGTGACCATGGTAACTGGTGTAAGTTAATAATTGTCATGGGGTATGACACATGAGCTAAAATTCCCAAGACAAACACCAAAATCCCACCCTCCATTGGCCTGCCCACCTCTGTAGTTACAACATTGCAGAAATCATTAGAAATCTTCATAGTTTAGTGTCAGTGGTAATTCGTGGATGGGTTTTTTTCCCTTAAAATTCTACAAAGTAATGTAACATTAGTTATGTGTCTGCAGTTATTAATAACAGACAGATTTAGACTGTTTTTCTTTAAATGTGGTTTAACAAGATTTAAGTAAGGCAGGAAAAATACCAGACTGTCACAAGGTGTTTACAGTGGTTAAAATGCCCTTATAAACAGCTAAAAGTACAAAAAAGGGGGGTGAGGGTGGGTTCAAGTGAAGACGTGGAACTGTTAAGACTTTGAATGCTCTGATAATCAGCCTAGACCTCTGTAAAATTAGTTGCAATGAGTAAAACTGAGTTTGACCTAGTGTCAAAAATAAATAAATAAATAAATGAGAATGATATATTCAGATAGCAAAGGCTAAGGTTTAGATTCATTACCATAGGTGAGTTAGATCTCATAGGGTTCAAACTATTCTTATATGTCATCATTTTATTGCAGTTTTTGGGGAGAATGTAAATATATTTACTGTACAACTTGCACCTAAACATTTTTATTGCACAGAACTGTAACTGTGTATCTACAAAACATTTGTTGTTTTATCGCACACAGTTGCAGTCGTATTGTTGATGCAGGAAAGGTCAAGGAATGTGGGTGGTAACAGGTCACAGGTGGTTTAAATGATTCACCTGGAGAAGAAACTTACCAGTCGCATTCTTCTAGTATTACTCAGCCACTACAGGATATTTGCTCACTGCTATTTTGCAGCAGACTTATAGGCTGCTTGTACTGAACCCTGCATCCTGCCTTAATTACCTTTAAAATTAGAAGAAATCACACACACCCTGCTGATGGCAAAAATCATAAAAAGCCTACTCTGACTTTGTTTTGCCATCATTCAATAAAGTTACTGTTTACATATAACAGCAGTGTTTATCTTATGTATCTTCTCTGCTTTAGTTGATCCAGTTTACTTACGTAGATCTTTCAAATTTGAAGAATAAACAGTTCAAGGTGTTTAAATGTTTCTGTGGGGTACCTTTACTTGTCTCCAGATTCTGGCTGTTTTCCATTATTTGTGTTACAGAGTTGCATATTCCTGCCAGAAGCTATTTGTGGATGTAGGGCAGTGCAGATGACTGCATCACTTGTATGTTTTTGTTTCTCCGCTCCTAGACACAGCAGAGGTTTTTCTTTTAACAGGACAGAATTTACCACAAAAATTCTATGTCATAAAACTTTATTGTAGTTTGTTTGTATACTTTCATTTGAATATTTTATTCAGTGATCTTTCCCCAGTCTAGGTTTGCTCAATTACAACTCTGTAAACCAATTTTATTGCTTTGAAACAGCCAGCTGTCGCTATATTTAGATATATGAAAGGGTCATTACATTAACTGTAGTAAATGGCCTGTATTTGTATAGCGCTTTTCTAGTCCCTAAGGACCCCAAAGCGCTTTACACAACCAGTCATCCACCCATTCACACACACTGGTGATGGCAAGCTACATTGTAGCCACCCTGGGGCGCACTGACAGAGGTGAGGCTGCCAGACACTGGCGCCACCGGGCCCTCTGACCACCACTAGTAGGCAACGGGTGAAGTGTCTTGCCCAAGGACACAACGACCGAGACTGTCCGAGCCGGGGCTCGAACCGGCAACCTTCCGATTACAAGACAAACTCCCAACTCTTGAGCCACGATCGCCCCGTTGTAACATATTGGCAGTCTTTTTTTTTTCTTTTTTTTTTTGAAATGCCTGGCACTATGACACAAAACAAACAGCACCCTGATTGTAACGTCACGGCAGGTTTTTTAGTCTCAGGGAACAGCCGTATTTGTGTACAGTGGGTGGGGTCAATGTTGGAAAAATGCTCTCAGGTTGCATCAGTGTTTAAGAATGTATCTTATGCGAAGGTCAGAGAGTAGAGGGGGGGTCAGGAGACTGGAAAAAAGCAGGGTGTGTTAAAAGTGATTGATTCTGCTGTGATGAGCAGAAAGAAAATCAAGTGTACAATCAGAGGAAAGGGCAATTTAAAAATAGATAGCAGACTGGAATCTCAGGTTTACCTGAAGGCATTACAAGTTCTGACACACCTTTCTCAGCTCTTCTGGAATCTGGTATGAAATAAGAAACAGTTGTAAGTCTGTGCATTATGTATCAGTGCGACAACTGAGGAAGAGAAAGGAAAATCTAAACTGAAATAAAATATGAGAACTAACGCAACACTGTGAGGTAATAACAAGCTGACACATTTTATGAGTGGGAGTGGAGACGGGGGGGAAAGAGGGCAGGGCAGTAAAGGGGAAATGGGAGTGGAAGTCGCAAACAGAGTTTCACCAAAGGCTATTCTTCCTGTCATTCAACAGCTTGTGTAGAACAGGAACAGATCAGGTTTATGTCGTCTCTCTACAATCACAGTAGCGCTCTTTGGATGTCCATTTGTAAATATTTAACTGAAATCTTCACATATTAAAGGAAGGCAGCTCGAGTTGGAAAAGACCTGCTGACCATCTCAACAAGGCTTTGATATCACTCTGAGAAGAAGCCGGACAAACTTTGAACAAAGATCAGACTGAG